ACCAGTCGGTCATTTTGAATACATCTATATCTATAACCTGATGTATAATGAATATATCAAATTTGAATATAATCAGTCAAAGCATGTCAGAGATAAGAAGCGCATTCATTAAAACAAAATGGCCGCCAGTCAGTGTCATGTGCATCAGGAACCCATAATCTCAAATGTATGTACCAAGTTTTAACAAAATCCATCCATAAACGCCAAGATCCCATTCTGGAATGCCAGAAATGCTTGATTTTTGATGATTTTTTAGCACAAAAATGGCCACCGTTTGGCCATTTTCAATCAGAATTTCAAACCAATATATTTATGTCATGATGTATAATGAATATATAAAATTTAAACATAATCAGTCAAAGCATGGTAGAGATATGGCACCAGAAACTAGAACTGCATTCATTAAAACAAAATGGCCACCATGCAGTCAGCCATATTAATTCCGATCTGAAAGATAAAATGACGGTGCATCAAGGTCTTATGATGTCCAACGTACCAAGTTTGAATAAAATCCATCCATCAAATGCTTGATTTCGATGATTTTTTAGTATAAAAATGGCCACCATTCGGCCATCTTGAATCAGATCGTGAAACAAATTGATGTGCACATGTATAATATTATATATGATGCATGTGTGAAGTTTGATTGTGATTGGTCCAGGTATGTCTAAGATACAGGCCCGGACGAATAGGTGGACTAAATACCTTATACACATGTAACAGTTCTTTTATTAATGTCAGAAAAACATCTATGTTCAGATTTTTTTTCCTGCAGTTTGGGATAATTAATGGATTCTATCAACCCATATGAATAATATAATAATCAACTTTTTCTGAACACAGTAGATTCTCTGAAATTACTATGGACAATGTTTATTTACAATTCAAATCAAAGCATCTACAGTATCTAACAAATTTTAGTGAAATAATAGGAGGTTTTTCAAATATACCAGAAAGAAATATAAAAATTATCTATTAAATATTAATAGATATATAAATAAGTTATTTAATAATCACGAAAGTCATTGTGAAAATTATAGGATTTTTGAGATGTGCTCTGAGATTAACAAATTGCTGGTACCTGTATGGCCAGAGGATGCACCATTAACCTCCGTAAGAAATCCTCACTCATATTGAAATCCGTGATCTTAGCATCTTGTTTACGAATCGCCTAGTTGTGAAAAAAGATAAAACAAAGTATTGGTAAAGCATTTTATACATTTGTACAATTACTGAAGTAAACAAGAGTTGGCAGAGCCATCTTGATGCTGGGAAAATAAATAAATATTTAAATGTGTGTTTTGGAGCAATGGATTGGCGAACAGACAGAAAAGCAAAGAAAGCTGAGGAAGAACTCCTGTGTCTGTGGGAGTAAATAGGTATAGATTTGATATTAGATGTATTAAACATGATGCAACTACAGGTAGAAAAATTAACTTGTTTAACTGAAGTTTTCTATTAAAAATTTAATCTACATGTCCCAAACATTTCAAAGACTTTGACTTTGTTTTAATGAAAACTTGAAGTATACATGAAGGTACGTGTTGTTATTTATTTATTTTGGAAACTCAATTTTTAACTGAAAGAATGAAGTTTTCTATTAAAAATTTAATCTACATGTCCCAAACATTTCAAAGACTTTGACTTTGTTTTATTGAAAACTTGAAGTATACATGAAGGTACGTGTTATTATTTATTTATTTTGGAAACTCAATTTTTAACTGAAAGAATTAAACTAAATTAAATATTCACGTTTGTTTATTTTGAACCTTAGAAACGACTACTGTTCAACTCGGGATGTTTAATTGTATTTAGCGTATGTTACTATGACAATCAACCAATTTGAGAAAAACAGTCGACAATGATTAAATGCATGGCCACAGCCAAATCACTGTTTAATTGAAGTAAAAAAAATCAAAGAAAACAGAGAACTCTAAGACAGGAAGAGAAACACGAGCAATGTAGTCGGACAACAGGCATTGCAGAAGCAATACAGTATTACCCACGATACACTATTCCAATAAGCGTGGGGATGTGGAAGTTCATAGCCATGCGTACTGCGGTCAAGAACAAGGTAAGAAATTACGTGACGAGACCAACACGATTTTCCGTTGATTTCCAGGTTCAAGTGCATTCATATAATATATATATATATACAAGAAGATCGATACAAACTACACCGCCAAGTGCAGTAGACATACTTTCTATGGCAATAGGAAGTTCGAAGGAAGCTAATACAGTTGATTTTAAATTTAAAAGTAAATGGAAATCACTTTTCAGTCCTCGTTGTGGCAGATTTACACACTACTACAGTTCGAATAAAGTTTACAAACACCACGGTCAGTCACACAAATTCCCCCAAATTCAAAAGGGATTTTTAAATGCGTTGGAGAACATGAACAATTATGCATACTTAGATGACAACTCCACGTTATGACGCAGCGTGAAAATAGCAATTTAACTTTGCTTGCACATTTCCCTGGACAGATTTACATAATACTACAGTTCGATAAGTTTACAAAAACCACGGCCAGTCACACAAAATCCATCAAAAGGGAACTGCAAGTCGTATAATGCCAAAACAGTACCATGATTTCACAACTTTCGAAATACAGTAGACATGGACATATAATTCAAGTGACGGTATAACAAAACAACTCATCATTTGTAAATTCAATCCATCGAAAAAGTATAAAAAAAAACATTTTCATAAACAATTTTGATTATATAAATACACTTTGAAAAGAAACATGATTCATAAACAAATCTATTTGAATACATTCTCACTACAAATTACACAATACTTATTTTTCAATGGCGTTTCTTCATAGCACAAACTCTTGAAATCATGCACACGTGTGAGTACTTCGGTGACACATTTTATAGCTACGCCCAAAATAATCCATTATTTATTGCGCAACTGTGACCAAACGACATCATTCTGTTAACATCTACACATTTTCCTAAAATCTCCATGCACTTTTTGACCATTAATAAGTAAAATACACTACAATTTAATTTAAAAAAAAAAAATTTGCTTGGTACATTCCTACATTATTGCATATTAAATGAGGAGTTCAGACACATTCCAAGCGGAACACTTTTCTTGGACTAATAACAAAGCTGGTCAATCCTTTCCCAGCAATAATGAAAAAAAAAATTATTAGAAATACCACCCTTTGGTAGCTTGATGCTATGTAAACAATATCTAGAAGGTCAATTGGGTGCCATGGCAATCAAAGGTTAGAGATCACTCTGGTACCATGCTAACTATGGTTTAGTGGTTACATTTGGTGTTATGTTTACTCTGGTATATTCAATTCAATGGTAATTTGGTCAAGCAGAAAATTTGATGTAACATCATCTAGCGAAAAGCTTAGTACAATGTCAATGATAGTCTACAAGTCAAGTTAGTGGCGTGGTAACATGATCTGGAGGTAAATTTGATGTAACATCATCTAGTGAAAAGCTTAGTACAATGTCAATGATAGTCTACAAGTCAAGTTAGTGGCGTGGTAACATGATCTGGAGGTAAATTTGATGTAACATCATCTAGTGAAAAGCTTAGTACAATGTCAATAATAGTCTACAAGTCAAGTTAGTGGCATGGTAACATGATCTGGAGGTAAATTTGATGCAATGCCAACCATTGTCCAGTGGTCCATTTTGTGATATGCCAACTATTATAACTGATCTAGTTGGCACAATATCAACATAGTCTACTGGTCAATTTTGCATACCTCATTATTTAGAGATTAAAGTGTTGAATTTAATTTGTAAATAAACTGAAATTACCTGGCTTAGTAAGGTTGCAAAATATCTGTGAAGAGGAAGGTGATAAGAGATCTGATATCGATTGGGACAATCAGATATATTGAGGGCATCAAACCAATCCTGTAGGTGATCCATACATACAGTAATAACATTCTTAGAGAATGGTAGAGTTTTCTGTAAATAAATAACCATATGTTAATAATTTGTTGAGAGTCTGTAACCTGCTGTTGTAAGGTAGAAGCCTACCGTACTCATAATTTTTGACAAATTTGGTCATAAATCGCATGACAATGTTCATTGGTTTATTGTGTAAAATCATGGAGTTACTCCAATGAAAAATTATATTTTTTGAGACATTTCTTAAAACACAGATTTTTTTTAAGAATTCAGGACAACAAAAAGTACCCCATTATTCACAACATGTAATTTTTACAGCCTATGTCACCAGCTTACAATTTGAGATATGGAATAATACACGTGTATCTTCTATGGTAAAAACATTGACAATAACTATCCAGTAAAATACAAGCATCATTTCCTTAAACATTAGACTGGTTGCCCCTCATCTTTTTTAAGTCAATATCTTTATATTACCGGAAGTACAATTTATTGCAAAATGAATAAATTCTGGGTATTTGCATTCATGAGGAAGCTTCCATCTTAAAGACAGCCATTGCTACACTGTCTCTCACAGTATACCAGTTTCAATCTTCACAATGTGGCTAATATCACAGATAAAGAAGCTCAAGTAATTTCATTACAAAAATGATGATTTAGAATAAGAATGGATTACCTTATCAGGACAATGCGCCACTATTTGCCACATGGGAGCAGAACACGCTTCTAATTCTGTAGAGAAAGCTGCATAATATGTCTGTGGTTCAAACTCCACATGTTGCGTTAATTCTCGTATGTTGAGATTCATTCCTACAGAGAGTAAAATACTGTGAAAACTGGTATGACAACACTCATTAAGGGTGTGTGTAGGGGCATCTGAGAAACAGAGGTAGATTCTGAGTGTACACCTAATGGTACCCTGTGATCATATCAGGAGCATACACACAATCCTCGACACTTACTCACCATTGAAGTCTGAAAGAAACATCATCCAATATTTAAGAAGTGTGTTGTCTTTGAGGAATCTTTCAGCAACAGGTTTATGGGAGAGAACGTTGATAAAATCACTAACAATTGGCCAATAATGATTCATTACTAATATGGCATCAGCACAATTAACAACCATGTGGAAATTCTGATCTGGCTCTGTAAGATAAAAAAAATGACAGAGAAAGCCATTACAGAGAAAGCTCACACTTAGTGGAATATTGTTATTCTGGCTATAGTAAACGTACCAAGAATTACAGTCGAAAATGTAATAAAACCATTACAGCAATGCAGCATGTGTGATGTTCATACCCAGTTTGATTGAAATCTGAATAATTAAACCTTGGTCGGTGACGATGCTTCCAATTCAGACGAAATTTTTAAAAATTCAACAGATATTTATTATGTTGACTCACCTCCTATAGTGCTCGGAATGAGAGTCGTTTCTATCATACTCAGTAATGATACAATCATTATATGTAATAACTGCATTTCATCCACCATTTTAGTAGCAAGCACTTCATTACTGAACAGCTGTACACTAATATGTACAACTCTATTAGATAGTGTACCAGGATTCTCTGTCAGAGACAATGCCACAGATATGCGACTGTAGTGTTGTACAAAGGCCCTAGTAAATGGCTCCTACAGAGACAATATACACAAGTCTGATTTAGATATGCGACTGTAGTGTTGTACAAAGGCCCTAGTAAATGGCTTCTACAGAGACAATATACACAAGTCTGATTTAGATATAATCAGTGAGGGTCTATTCCAAAAACAATTTTTTGCAAAAACTCAAATTAATAATATTGTAATTTCCATTATTAGCATTGCATACATTTCATTTAAAGTGCCTGTGCAATGCCCACCCACATGCTTCCCATTTTAGATCTGTGCCCCACTGAAATGGGCAATTATTGATGTTTTTGCTGAAAATGATTACTCGTATCCAAGTCAATTTGAGATATTTCCCGTGCTGTAGCCACGCCCACCTATCCTGAAACGGTCGACTGTTTCCGGATTTCCGACTCTCGCCGAAAGGATGCCACCAAATGCAAAATATGAGAGGAAGCCATACCCCTGGGCCGTACTTTTATATCACTGTGTCATTCAACAAACAACTGTACTTTTAAACGATATACATTTTTTAATCGGCATTTCTTTTGTCTATTTTATTTTATTTTTGAGAGAGCGAATTTTTAGAAGTTGTTTTCACAACAAACTTTTATGATGGTTAAACGTTGTGTTGTGGGCGGTTGCAGTAATGCGTATAGTTCATAGTGTAAGTATTTACACGTTTCCAATCGATCCGAAGGTGCGAAATCAGTGGACGAAAGCCGTGATAATAACGAGAAAAGGTTGGGGTGGACTAACAGCGTCATATGCAGTGTCCACTTCTGCACCTCAGATTCTTTTTTGTTGTTGAAAAACTGTCCTTGTCCATGACAAAACAACTAGGTTTTAACGAGAAACGCCGACAATACAAAACGTTTTTGAAAAAATAGATTCCGCACCAGCCCATGATCACTGAGACGGATTTCAGAAGGGGGAGAGACGTCGAGTATGTGTTTCAAATGATTTGATTTTTTTTTGCGATCCTGATTATCGCTTTATAGAGACCACCCGTGTTATGTAAAAAGGTAGCAGTAATTTTGATAATGACACGAAAACGAAGCGTC